TTAGGCTGGATGTGCCCCAGGAGGGTCTCCCGATTCCAGTGGCGATCCACGGCTAATGAAAAATTACTAGTCATGAGCCGGATTCGAACCTAGGACTTTGAGTTCTAGAAGTCAGTGCTCACCCACTGAGCTATCCCGCTCCCCTTTAATATAGTTAATGTTTATTAAATAATAAAAAATAAAAACAATTTTTATTAAAATTGGCGTGGTAAGTAAAAGTTGTGTGCTAAAATGCTTGCTTAGCCTGAAGAAAGTGAATGAATGAATGAATAAATGTTTGTATTTTCTCAACAGCTGTACTTGTTGCTCTTGCTAGTAAAAACAGTTCAGTACACATTTACGAAAATATAAAAATAAGAAAAAAACACAGGACTAAAATATTATTACGTATAAACCACGAAACCTTAAATATCACAAACACACACACACATATATCTGTCCGCATATTTTAAAGATTGCCATAATAGTGTTCAGTAATTAAATTCTTTTATCTAGGATTTTGCCTAAAGAAAGTGTAAACGTATAAATCAATTAGATGTATATTGTTTGCTTGTTTGTTCACCAATTATTCCTTTATCCTTCCTTATAAGGGATAAAACTAAGTAGTTAGGAATTATTGTTTGTTTTTCATAATAGGTAATTTGTTATGACACATTTTGCTTTTTGAAAACAATAATGTTATGAATACTTTATGGTATTTTCTCTTCAGAATTAAATGCAAATTTGAAAAATGATAAAGATGACAAATTGGAAAGAGCGGCATTTTTTGAAAAGTTCGGCATTCACTGTGCTCAGTGATAAAGATAAAGACCGTAGTAAAGTTGAGTATTGAGCTTAATATTGAGTATAATATTATTACAACATGAGCAATTACTTCCGTTCAAATACTGAGTCAAATTTTGTTTACTAATTTACTTTTGTTTCAGTGTTATCTGTGAAAACGATAAAACTGCCTCATTGCAAGCTTCCTTATAATAACAGTGTTAATACAATTTAGGAGAGAAGATTTAAAGATCATTTTTTCAATTATAAATAATATGTTTTCACTTTTATTTTATTATTCATTTATTGAAATTTATAACTGAAAAATTAAGACAACAGACAAATTATAAGAATACAAAACATTATAAGAACTTGTGTATAGTGTACCCCTAGGTAGTACTTCAAAGATTAGATTAATGTAGAAGGTCTCGCGACCATCTTCTTTTCTGAGCCCTCGGATTGTTTGCAGGAATCGTTTTGGATGAAAGGTTATGAACTAGAGAGTTAGAGTTACCATCGAGTTTGGAATTGAAAGAGGAATGTCTGATTAGGTTCAAGTCTTCAACAACGGGAATATTAAGGTCTTTATTGATTAATTTATTTGTGACATAATAAGGATCATTAAGGGTTTTACGAAGGATTTTGTAAAGTAGGGATGAGAAACGGGCAGTATTCGATGATTTTGTGGAGCCAATACCGTATTTCCAAATGGACCTCTCAGTTATTCGAAGAGTATTAGAATTTTAGAGCGTTTATCAAGTAGTGTTATAAAATTTCGAAATGATATGGCCCTGTTAAGCGAAGACACGGAAAACTTAAAACTAAATAAGACAATGTTATTGAAAGCGGTAAAGAATTAGGGCTCGATAAATATAAATACGGATAAGACAAAATATATGGTTAGCTGCAAATATTGCTGGTGATATCGATATAGAAGGTAATTTGTTTGAGTACGTAGAGAAGTTTAAGTATCTAGGATTTACGATAAATAGAAAAAACGAAATTGAAGAAGAGATTACGGTTAGGTTGAATGAGGGAAATGCTTGTTATTTTTCTGTGACAAAACTACTTAACTCTCGGTGCTCTTGTACCGGAACTTAATATCTATAAAACAAAAAAAAAATATATATCTTACCTACGATTATTTATAGATGCGATACGTAGCACTTACATCAAGGTATGATCAACGCCTTAAGGGTTTTGAAAATCAAGTATTCGGACTGGATAATCAAGGATGAGTTATTCATCTCGGCGAATGCAATGGGCTTGTAAAATTGTTAGACTTAGTAACGAAAGAATTCCTTAAAGGTTAATATTTTCTGTGCCGAAGGTGAGAAGATTGCGTTAAGACAAATCTGAAGGGACTGGGTGAGTGTACGGTGATTGGTGGTATCGGCATCGAACCTTTGGGTTCGCTAAGCCATTTATTATTATTATTATTATTTATGACAGTGCTTAAACATATGAAAATAACCACAATGAAATATAAATAAAAATTGTGGATTTGTTTATCTGTTATAATTAAATAAATAATTAAAATATACAGTTAAAGGGAAATGGTTAGTATAACTGAAAAAAATATATATAAATAAGAATTTTTGTTAACAGTATTTATTCTCCCAAAACAATTATTCCTTATTATATTATACACTATAGCCCTAGTACTAAATCCCTTCTGTGTGACAGAGTGTATTAATACTCAATAAAAAAATATATATATTATGACGTTTCGGGATCTACTTTTGCATCCCATCTTCAAACTAGAAATTCTAATATTATCGTTATTTATATTTTTAAACAATCAATATAATATTTTTTACTTTCACTTACGTATATATGTAATATATAGTAAGTGTAAGTATTGCGATCGAGAAAATTTTTGAATCTGAGTTTTCAACGGAAATAGACGTTTTGAGGTACCCTGAGTCGAAATGACCAAGTCCCGAAAAATGGTCTGTGTGTCTGTATGTTAGCAGTCTAGCTCAAAAACGAAAAGTCCTACGAAACTGATATTACGTATTTAAGATAGGTATATGCCTTAGATGTGACGGCAACTTTTTCCTTAAAATCGGCTAACCGGAAGTGCCACTTTATATCAACGCTGAAACACATTTTCACAATTTTCTCAAAAACGGCTCTAACGATTTTGATTAAACTCGGTGTATCATTGTATAATTAAGTGGTCTTTAATATCAATTAGGTCTTATCCCCATTGATGTCACTTTACAGGGCTTAAATGCCCAATGTTCATATACGTCTTCCTCTAAAGTACCTTAAATATGGTTTATTTTAAAAAGTTAATCATTTCACATTATTCAAAGTAATGAAAAAATGCTAAATATAACTTTTGAAAGAATTTGATAAGTTAATAAAGGAGAAAAAAAAAAAGCAGAAAAACCTACGTTGCTATAGACTGTAGCGCCTAAACGGATGTACCGATTTCAATGAAACTTCGCTAAAGTCATTTTCTCGACACTCTTTAAATTTATCTATATAACATACTTCAACGAAAAGAAGCTGGAAAAAAAGTTACGAGCGATGGTAAAATTAAATTCCGAATAACTCAAAAAGTATACACTTTTTTGGTGATATTATATATGATTCTTTAAAAGTTTGTGGAATTTCTTTAAAAAATCGTTAAGATCGGACAACTAGGAGGAAAGATATGGTCTCTAGCTTTTTTTTGAAATTTTTTTAGCGAAAATTTGGATAAATTTAAAATATACTATTTTAATTGTTGAGAATTAAAAACTTTTTTCTACAGATATTTAATAAAGTATCTTTCCTATGAACATTTTTCATTAGAAATAATTACCTAAATTTATACCTTTATTTTTAGTTCTATATTTCAAAATTGCAATCATAACCTCTGGAATCAACTTACTCATATTCTGCATAGATACCTCTTTCAACTAAAAATATTACTAAAATGATATCTCTTAAAAATATTGAAATTGGAGTTAGTCATTCTGTGGTTTATAAAAGCAAAGAAAGTTGTGTGGTTTATAAAAGCACATGGAGTGACTAGATTTTTGTTGCCTGTTGTCGATATATTAAATAGACATTTTGTAATTATAATTGTTTTAATGAATTTTTATCTGTAAACTTTAAGCTTTAGCTCCGTTTAAAATGCACTTCAAAAAATGTATTATAGCCCAGCATTGCCAGAAAATAATTTCTATTCATAGTAGATCGATAAGTGAAAGTTGTGTGTTGTGCCCAGATTTTTTATATAACTTTAAACAATAATAACAAAATTTTGCCAATCTTACCAGTACCTTCTTTTGAGAGAATAAATACTGTTAACAAAAATTCTTACTTATATACCTCAAAAAGAATCTCCCTTAGGACTATTGAAGGAAAAATTAAAATGGCTGTAAAAAAACAAGTAGTAATTAATCGTTTTAAAAGATATTATTAACGTCCGCAACTTTACTTTGCCTGAAAATATTTATTTCTGCTAAAAGATAAGTGTAAGTTGTGTGATGCGTGCACCACACCTTATTTTTACATATTTGTTCCCCTTTTTGAATTGGCACATTTATAAAGTGCCCCCTCTTCGAGCTCGGAGGCAAGTTAAAATTGTATGATGATGGAAATTATAGAATAGAATAGAATAGAGAAATAATTTTATTCTGGTACACAGTCCCTTGAGAATAACAAAATAGAACAAAATTAAAAGATTACATCTGGCCAAAATAAAATCAATCGAAAAAAAGAAATAATGTAAAGGAAATATAAGGTAAACATTCTATATACAAAACTATATACAAAACAATTAATACTATGACAAGACACTTAATTCTATTTGCACTGATCGACCAGTATACACTCTTAAGAAAATAATAAAAAACTAAAAAAATATAAATATATCTAATTCTCTATTATAATCAGCTCGAATGGTTAGCAACTATCTGACTGTTTTTGGGATAGGAATTGGAATAGAAGGAGTTTGAATGTGGATATGGATGGGGAATGTCGAATTTGGATGATGAGGGAGTGCCAGAAATTGACAGAGCGAACAGTATGCCTGAAAGTTTTTTTTTTTTTTTTATCCACAAACTTTCGACTCGACTCTAGGACTATGTGAAGGATGCTCTGAAGCGCTGGGATGCTGTTGCAGATGTTCGATTCCCGCTCTGAGATGCGTTACACCACAATCGACCCCTAACAAGCAGCGACGACACAAAGAGACCCTCCTTATCGGGAAGTCGAGCTGTTTCCCAACACATAAAGATATGCCGAAAGGTGGCGCTTTCTCCAGCTGACTCTGGCTGGACGTGATTCTATTTCCAATCCGCGGCATCTCCAGGATCTGGAGCCTCCAGGGTTATTGAAAATTCCAATCCCTTCTTAGGAAGGCCTCGTGTTAAATTTAAATTATCCTTCCAGCTATTTCTTCTAAAGACTCTCTTTCTTTCGCATTTCTCTGCTCCCGGGCCGCATACCAGAGGCGCTCTGAAGTAATTCTACATTGCCCTCTGGAACATCACATGAGGCAACCGAGAATGCTGGCACAAACAAGTAGTAGATACCGTAACAAGTATTTAATTTGAAAAAATATAAAGTATATCCTTTTTCTAAATAATAGTCATACGCTAATTTTTTTTACCATTATATTATTTTTTTTAAATTTATTCTTTATTCAGAAAAAAATAGAAAGAAAAACAAGATTATAACAATGGAAAACTTTGACAATTAAATAAAAAAAATCTAATTCGCGCAACACACAACTTTCACTTACCGCTCTACTTTGAATATAAATCATTTTCTGGCAATACTGGACTATTATAAAAAAATTTTAAGTGCATTTTAAACGGAGCTGAAGCTTAAAGCTTACAGATAACAAGTCATTAAGATCATTATAATTACAAAATGTCTATTTAATATGGTAGGTAATTTAATGGTAGGCAATAAAAATCTAGTCATTCTATCTATTTCTTTGCTTTTATAAACCACAGAATGACTAACTCCAATTTCAACATTTTTAAGTAATATCATTTATCATTTTAGTGATACTTTTAGTTGAAAAAGTTACCTATGCAGACAATGAGTAAGTTGATTCCAGAGGTGGTGATTGCAGTGTTGAAATATAGAACTGAGAATAAATGTAAAAATTTAGGAACTTATTTCTTATGAAAGATGTTCTTAGGAAAGATACTTCATTAAATATCTGTAAAAAAAAGTTTTTTTTTAGTCTAGTTAGGAAATTAAAAAACCTTTGAAACATCTTATCACAATATCGACAAAAAAGTGTATACTTTTTGCGTTATTCAGAATTTAATTTTACCATCCCTCGTAACTTTTTTCCAGCTTCTTTTCATTGAATTGTGTTATACAGATAAATTTAAAGGGTGTTGAGAAAATTACTTAAGAGAAGTTTCAATGAAATCGGTACATTCGTTTAGGCGCTACAGTCTATAGCAACACTAGTTTTTCTGCATTTTTATTTTTTTGTCTCCTTTATTAACTGATCAAATTCTTTCAAAAGTTATATGTAGCATTTTTTCGTAACTCTGAATAATGCCAAATGATTTACTTTTTAAAATAAACCGTATTAAAGGTACTTAAGAGGAAGACATATATGAACATTGGGCATTTAATCCAAAGTCAAAAAATCCTGAAAGACGGTGGCCTACAAAATATTTCGCCGTTTTGGGTGACTTCTATCCCGAGAATCAAAATAACAAGGTGATATAGACCAAACGGCCTAATATTTTTGTAGGCTAATTTTTTTCTCGATTTTTTTTGTAAACATTATCTTTGATAGATTCAGAGATTCAAGTGAAAGCCAAATGGGTATTCGTGACGTTTCAGAACTACATTAAATTAAGTAATTTAACAGGAAATCGGCTCATTTATTAGAATTTTTAAAGATAACATATTTGTTGGTTACGATGAGATGAAGTCATTCATGAAATATTAGACAGCCATTAATAACTAGTTGGCCCGTGCGAGTAATTCGCAGAAAATTTTGGTTAGTGAAGAAATAGCAAAACAATATGGAAATAAGTAATTCCCATGTATTATGTAAGAGAGGAATTAATGTTTTTTCCTTGGTAGATTACAATATTCCATTTAACATAATATACCAAAATATTTGTACACATTGCTTTGCTAGGACCTATTTTTAAACGCTGACTGGAAAGATAATAGAAGTAATAAAAGAAAATAATGCCCCGATCATGAGATTTTCTAAATTATTAAAAAAATGTAAGAACAAACAAATACCTTTAAGAAATAATAAAGTTAATTCATCAGGCAGGAAAAAAAAGTGTAGTAGACTATTACACTCCTAAATGCAATATTTTTGAAACGGAAGACATTATTAAGCATACCAAAACTAATGGACTGCATCTTTGTTAATAATTGTTCGATTTTTACGATTTTTTTTTGTTTGTTTTGTAAGTAATTTTAGTTATATGTCTAATTATCATGGGTACAGTAAAAAATCCATACTTTTTGAGTTATTCCCTAATAAAGTTTCTTTTTCTTCATGACTTTTTTTCTAGAAATATCGGTGGGATAGTATGTGAACCAGAAGAATATCTTAAAAACGAGTGGTGAATCATTGGATTTGGTGAACAATTGACGAATTTATGGCGTACCGACAAAAAAACACCTTTTCTGATCTGAATTGGCAAAAAGATGTCGATTTTCTGATGATTCTTTTTTTACCTGAATTTCAGAGTCTTATATTATTAATATATTGGAAATATTATAGATCGGGTTAAATGTAAAAAAAAAAATAGGTTAGTGGCACAAAATAAAATACTGACTATAGTCAATGAAAATCGTTACGATTTATAAAATATTACAAACGGGAAAATAGTGTTTGAAACACGCTTAAAGGATTTTTTTTTATTTTATTTTTTTTCTGATGCCACAGTTATCATTGGTCGTTCGACTATCCGACATCTTACTGCCCAGTATAAGTTTGATTAAAAAAAAACAGAAATCTCAAAATCTCTATTTCTTTATATATTTTTTACACGTCGCATTATATTTTTTATCGTTGATTAAATCTTTAGTTTTATCTTTTATTTTATTTAAAAACCGTATTACTGTGTAACGTAAGAAATATTCGAATAGGAAAAAACCGTGGATTAAGCAGGTGAAAAAAAAATCATTATGAAATTTTTAATATAGGCATCCAAAACAATGTAAAATTTAATATTCCTTTATAACCCTTTTGTATTAAAATTAATAAAATGGGATAAGTTACTAAATTGGTAGCACGACAAAAGGTTTTAGTTGGTCCTCGGCTGCTTAAGCCCTCGAAGATCGGACAAAGGAGCGTTAGAAGATTTCCTGATAAGAGCTCTCTTCAGAGGGCCGAAGAGTTGTCGAGGAAAGAACCCGTCACGCACGTGTTCCTCAACGCGTTGAAGGTTCGCTGATCTAATCAAAGTCAGCAGATCGATAGCTCTCTTCTTTCTAGTTTAATAATAATTTATTTATTTAATTATTAATTATATATATATATATATATTAAATAGTAGTTATTAACTAATGTAAATATTAAGTTCTAAATCTACATGGGAAAGTGTTACTCATATGTGTCTTTCAGTTCACAGAATAACTAACTACAATTTTAACATTTTGGTTTATTATTTTTAATAATCAATCATTGTGATCGAACAAAAAATTCAAAACTTAACACCCTCTCAAAATTTGAGGTTTCACGTTTCAGGATGCGTAGAATTCGAAAAACGAATAAAAAAAATTTTATCCGCCGTCCGCTCATTTTATCCTAAACTACTGGACCGATTTTTTTCAAATTTGAATATACAATACGTGGTCACCCGAGGATGATCTTCCTTCATCGGCATTACTATCCGCCTTTTTCTTTCAAAATGACGGCAGAAAAACCTGCGTTGCTATAGACTGTAGCTCCCAAACGAATCTACCGATTTCAAAGAAAACTCGCTTAAGTCATTCTCGACACCCTTTAAATTGATCTGTATAACATACTTCAACGAAAAGAAGCTGAAAAAAAAAGGTAAAAGGGATGGTAAAATTAAATTCCGATTAACTCAAAAAGTATTCATTTTTTTGTTGGTATTGTATATTTACATGGATATGTATATAGTTTTTTTAAAAGTTTACGGAATTTCCTGAAAAACAAAAAAAAATCGGCCAATTAGGTGCAAAGATATGGTCTCCAGTTTTTTTCTTATATGTTCTACTTCAAATGTTATATCCTTTGTTTGGTTTTTAAATTTTGAATGTGTTACTGAAGTAATGATATTTTTTTAGCATATTACTAATGATTAAAAAAAAAGTTTCGTCCAATAATTGGAATTACCTTTTATTTATTTTCCGTTGTAACTAAGAAGGTAATATTAATTTAGATATATAGTTATTTGGAAATAATAAACCATTGTGAAATAATTTGTAGCGTTTTTTTAATAAAGTTATTTTAGTGATGTTTTCAGTACGAAAATGTACAGACAGTGAGTAAGTTGATTACAGAGTAGGTGATTGCAGTTTTGAATTATAGAACTATGAATAAAGGCATAAATTTTCCCACAAGAAATATCGGTAAAATTAATCATAAAATAATGTTGAAATTGGAGTCATTCTATCAACTGACAGGCTCATGTATCAGACCAAAAATAATATTATAATTCAGCAACGAAAATAAAATAATTTTCATTATATACAACCACTTATTACACACTCTCACAATATAAAAAAAAAAGAATATTTGCCAAATAATAAAACTTTATTAAACAACTATTTATGTTTTATTGGGCATTACAAAGGATTTCGTAGCAACAACTCAATCAATCCGTTTAGAATGATTAAGTTTTTCTTTCACTTACATATATATGTAATATGTAGTTAGGGAAAGTATTCCGAACGTGAAAATTTTCGAATCTTAGTTTTCAACGGAAATTCATCTTTTGAGGTCTCCTGAGTCCAAATAACCAAGTCCCACAAAATGGTCTGTGTGAGCATGAACAAAAACAAAAGTCGTGTGAAAATGAAATTGCGTATTTAAGGTTTATATCTATATTGTTATATATCTGGGATATTACGATTTTCTCAAAAAAACAGCTCTAACGATTTTGATTAAATTGATTACATCAGTGTGAAATGAAACATTTTTAATATGATGTAGGTTTTATTCTCGTTGATACACTCTTTCAGGGCTTTTACGGATAATTAAAAAAAATTTCTTACTCTAAAGTACATATAATTTTTTTATTTGAAATAATTAATCATTTGAACCAGATATAAGAAAAAAGAAACGCTACAAATTATTTCACAATGGTTTACTATTTCCAAACAATTATACATCTAAAGTAACATTGCCTTCCTAGTTACAAAGAAAAATAAATAATACGTTATTTGAATTATTGGACTAAACTTTTTTTTTTAATCATTAGTAATATGCTAAAAAAAACAGCATTACTTCAGTAACACATTTAAAATTTAAAAACTAAAACAAAGCATAACATTTGCAATAGAACATAAAAAAAAAAAAAAAAAAAAAACACTAGAGATTATATCTTTGCTTCAAATTGTCCGATTTTAACGATTTTTTTTTTTTTTTTGGGAATTCCGTAAACTTTAAAAGAAAACCATATAGACAAAAAAGTTTAAATTTTTTGGGTTATTCGGAATTTGATTTTATCATCGCCTGTAACTTTTTTTACAGCTTCTTTTCGTTTAAATATGTTTTATAGATAAATTTAAAGGGCGTCGAGAAAATGACTTTAGCGAAGTTTCATTGAAATCGGTACATTCCTTTACAGTCTATAGAAACGCAGGTTTTCCGTCCTCCATTTTTAAAGTAAAATGCGGTTAGTAATGTCGATGAAGGATGGTCATCCTAGAGTGACCTCTGATTTTTTTAAAAATCGGTCCAGTAGTATCGGAGGCAATGCGCGGACGGTGGACGGAAAAAAACATTTTTATTTGTTTTTCACATCGATTTGAATTGTAGTCGATCATAATGGTTCATTATTGAAAACAATAAACCAAAAAGTATTGTTCCGTTCCGTTGTGTGTTCCGCAGCTATTTGTTCTTCAATCGATTTCGGAGGATTTTCATACTTTGATATACGCCTAATTTTGATTTAAATAAAACTGAACGTATTAAATATATGTTTATATCTAGAGATTGAGAGGACCAATTTAACAAAATAATTTAATGATTATCTAACCCATTCATTGATATACCTGAATGCTGCGAATCTTCCCGTCGAAAAAATATATCTTTTTTTAGCAATTAAATCTTCTGACGCAGGGCTGTAGAGACGATTGTAAAATCGTTAGATAGCCCTCAGTGTTAATTTTTCCTTCTAATTGGGCAATCCGTCCCGATTTACCACACAATTCCCACCAAACATCAATATTCCAATATTTCACATTTTTTTTACAAAATCGCAACCTCTGAGCTTTTTGTATATTTAGTATAGAACTGACTTATTGATCTTTACTCTTGCGAGAAGTAAAATTTTACTAGCTTATAAGCTTCATTCTTGCATGGGAAGAAATCTGGTTCGTCTTAGTTTTTGCGTTCACGGCGAGTCATAAGTTTATATTTCCTTCTTCCTGGTAGTAATTTTTTCGACCAACAATATTTAACACTATTGCTTTTTAAAATATCTGGTGTGTCCACTCACACGACTTTCCTACTTATTTCAGAAAAGTTTTTATATCTTTACATATGTTCATGAAGAAACAAAAAATAATGAACTAGATACATTTTCCTGAAATAGATCAAACATAAGATATGAGTACGATTTATTTGATTAACTAAAGCAATGTAAACCGGCTTAAGGTAGATCAGTGTAAAAATTTCAATACTTCCTAATATTGCTGATCAAAAACTTTTTGCCACAGCTTAGTAGTGAAGATTGTGTGGTGCAGGCAACAGATTTTCTTACTTTCACTTAGTCATCTTTATTCTCTCATTCACCCCTTTCTGACAATAAGATATGAAACGGTAATCTTGCATTGGAAATTGAATAGTTAATAGTTAATAGTTGTCCAAAATGAACGATTTTTATATGGCTTTGTAGGAAAAAACAGCAGCAACAAAATCGGTTCTGTGATTCACGAGAAAATCTTGGCACAGACAGACAGACCAATGGCTAAACATGTGTTTTTCGGACTCAGAGGGCCCTGAAACGTATAGATCCGTCGAAAACCGCATGTCGAAAATTTGACCCGATTGCAATACTTTCCTTAAATAGTATAGGTAGGAAAGTAAAATGTATTTCATCTAACTTTAAACTGGTCACAAAACTATTGTTATGAACAAACTGACAAATAAGTTCAATTAAGCATGTAGAGAATTAAAAGTTCCCAAAATATCTTTATGGAATGAACCTTCTTAATGGCTAATAAATTATTTAAGTGCAGTAACATATACTTATATATATATATATATATATATATATATATATATATATATATATATATATATATATATATATATATATATATATATATATTCTGTATAATATTCTAATCGAGCAGGGAATTCCAAAAAAACTAGTAAATCTAGTCAGGCTGTGCTTGACGGAGACACTCAATAAAGTTAGAATCGGTAATAATTTGTCCGAAAAATTTGAGGTTCGTTCGAGCTTAAAACAGGGAGATTCTCTTTCGCCTGTCCTGTTTAATTTGGCATTAGAACATGCCATTAGGGAGGTAATGCGAACCGAGAAAGGGTTGGATCTGGGCGGGACAACATCCGTGCTGGGCTATGCTGATGATCTGGTATTGTTAAGCGAAGACGTTGAAACTATAAAACTAAATACGACAACGTTAATGGAAGCCGGTAAAGAACTAGGACTCGAAATAAACGTGGATAAAACAAAATATATGGTTAGCTGCAAAAATGGCGATACAACTGGTGATATCGATATAGATGGTAATATGTTTGAACAGGTAGATAAATTTAGGTATCTAGGTTCTACGATAACTAGAAAAAACGAAATTGAAGAAGAGATTAAGGTTAGACTGAAGGCGGGGAATGCTTGTTATTTTTCTGTGACAAAACTACTTAGTTCGCGCCTCTTGTCCCGAAACCTAAAAATTAGAATCTAGAAAACAATTATCTTGCCTACAGTTCTTTATGGATACGAAACTTGGCCGCTTACATTAAGGGATGAGCAGCGTCTTAAGGTTTTTGAAAATAAAGTATTGCGCAGAATATTCGGACCGAAGAAGGATGAGTTAACCGGAGAGTTCAGACGGTTACACAACGCCGAATTGCGTGAGCTGTATCCGGGTAATATAATTGAGGTAATTTCATCGCGGCGAATCAAATGGGCTTGTAAAGTTGTTGGGCTTAGTAACGAGAGAATTCCTAAAAGGTTAATATTTGCTGTGCCGAATGGTAAGCATCCGAGGGGTAGACCGAAGTGAAGGTGGGAGGATTGCATTAAAGCCGATCTGAAGGGACTGGGTTTGGACGGCGAACGGTGGAGGGAGGTGTGTAACAAGCGATTGGTGGTGTCGGCATCGAACCTTCGGGTTCGCTAAGCCTTATTATTATTATTATTATTATTATTATTATTATTATTATTATATATATATATATATATATATATATATATATATATATATATATATAAAGCTTATACCTCTGGATACCGGACAGTCTAGGTGACTTATATTTTGTCCTGCAATGAGTGGTGTCATTTATATAACGATATTTTAAAATTAAATACAATATATATATATATATATATATATATATATATATATATATATATATATATATATATATATATATATATATATATATAGTGTGTGATTGTGTATTAAATTTTAAAATATCGTTACATAAATGACACCTCTCATTACAGGACAAAATATAAGTCACCTAGACTGTCCGGCATCCAGAGGTTCAGCTGTATAGGTTCTGGTTTATTCCTTCGTTCCAACGGTCATCGACTTCTTTTGCTTTTCCAGAGGACTGGAAGCGTTCGAGGAGAAGACATCCCGTACGCCCTGGGACTGCCCCTCACCGGAGGACTGCCGCACTTCCCCCAGAACTACACTGCCGAAGACATCGCCGTGTCCAAGCGCTTCATCCACTACCTGGCCAACTTCGCCAGGAAAGGGTATGTTACTAATCTCTCTTTTTGGAGTTGTAATATTTTTAATTTTATTTTTCTTATATTTTTAAGTATTTACTTAAAGTTGTTTCTAGGAGAACGTTATTTGTTTTTCATAGCAATGTAATCTTAGCAAGAAATCTTCATTACACGTCGAGAATATAAAGGACAGGTTTCAAAACGCGATAATTCAATCGAATAAATTCAGTACCAATGAACAGAGATTTATGCTTATTTACTAACAGGATTCCAGTGTAATCTTAAAAAACACACGAAAAAATTATATAAATTAATACCTACCTACTTAATTACATAAATTCAAAATAGAAATAAATATTGATAGTAAGTAAACTAAATATAAATATGTTAAGTATACAATTGAGAAAAAAACAATACTGAGTGATAATGAGGTTGCATCATGCTTTCATTCATTCGATGAATAATGGAACGCTTTGATTTATAACATTGGTTTTTATCGATGAGTAAGAAACGAACTAAAAGATTTGTTGGTTCCATCAATGAGCACAGAGGTAAGTTAAATAAATCTTTAAAATTATCACAAGAAGCCCTAAAATATGTTTTATGAATTCATTTAATCATAAAATAGTATTTATATCATAAACTAGATGGAAAATTGTAATCATCTGTTCGCGTCTATAAAATCTGAGCTAGCTTCTCAAAAAAAAAATAAACTACTGTTTTATGCTACATACAATTTCGTACAAAATTGTGTTATTTCCGTTTTACCGATAGATTTTCATCAATTTTTTTATCTACATTTATTATATGAAATGAATATTACTATATTTTGAGGTTTCGGATAGGTAGGTATTTTCGAACGAACGAGCTTTATTAATATTAGTCCAAGAGCCAAATCGAAATTTGTTTAGTTATTTTAAGAAATCTTGAAGTCATTCACAGCTATAAGGGTTATATTCAACTTTCGATCAGCACCCGAATACGAGAACGTAAAAGTAAAAATTGTATTGATTGAAAATGATTTTTTTGAATCGAAATAAAACTCTATTTTTAACATATTTCAAAAAATGTGATTTGTCAAAGTTGATGACAGTCTTGCCGATAGGAGAAAATAATTACAAATCTTATTATAATAATATACATATGTCAAGTGTTACTTGGATTACATTACATATCTAGGAAGTAAATTTTAGTATTTTTACATTCTGTAAATCAAAGCTTCTCTACCAGGTATTTAAGAAACAAAATAAAATATTTTTAAATTTTAATATTTTTATATTTTTTAAAATATTTTTTATATTAAGGATAATAAAGAATTATCCTTTTTGTTTTTGCTTTTAACCTAAAATACTTTTATTTTCTTTATTTATGATATAATTTTATTTATAAATAATTTTACTTATGATGTAAAATTTTGCAAGAATCCTTGTTGATTTTCTGAAATGAAAATCTAATTACTAGAGATAATTTTCTAAAATTGTTAATAATGACAATTACCAAGTATTAAAATATAAAATTTAGATCAAAAGAAGCTGGATCAGAGATCTCATTTCCTGAATTAAGGAGTCATACAAAGCCGGAGGAGAGGAGCTGATGCGTACTATCCTTCCTCATACTTGAGTAGCCAACTCCAAATTCGACACAGGGTCCTGTTTAGATTAGGCCCGCCAGTGATTTTTAATGATATTCAGTAACAGTTGTTATGGAACTTGATACCATTCATATAGAAATAAAATCACATGTTTAAATATTATTTTCCTGGCAATGGCCGGCTTCTCCACTCAAATCATGAGCGTATGTGGCTTTAGTGCCCTCTCTCAGTCTCCACTGGATTCCCATCCTAGTGATGCGGCTGAGAGAGAAGGGCTGGGATCTCTTGGAGTCTTGCCTTGTCCTCCACACGTGGGGGAAAAGGCCCGACTCGGAGCTCTCTCGGATGACTGTAAATATTGTAAATAAGTTTGAATGTGTTTTTATTTATTTTTATTTTTTCTTAATTTTTATTTAATGTTATATCAGTTTGATTTATTCTGTTACTCCAAGTTTTATTTTATTTTATTTTCTTATAATCTTGTTGTTCTTTTATTCTATATATGGTATTATTGTAATTCATTCATCATAAATACTCAATGCCCTTAAGTAAGGCAAAATGTATTTTTTTTCTCAATAAAAAAAAATATATATTATTTAATTTAGTATTAAAATATTTTTGGTGGGACTCGTCACTCTATCTTAGACTCTTCATGTGGAAACAGAAAAACTCAAATGAGGACATTCATGATATAATCCTTAAAAGTATGTTAATTTTTTTGGTAATGTATAAAACGTTCCTAATAAATGAATTATATGTTTCTTTAACTCATATTTTTTAATTTATGAACAAGTAACTATTACTAGATAAAATAACTGGCGGGCCTAAACAATACCCTAAATCTAAACAATACCCTCGACACGTGTATTCAGCACACGTGTGCTGAATGGTATAAAACTTGAAAATCGATCCAGCCGTTCGTTCAAAACAGCGTCACAAATCTTTTTGCAAATATATTAAACGTATTTTATTTTATCACAGGTCACTATTTTAAGCTCAAATTGTTTCAAAACACTCAGAAGATCTCACCGAATAATTTATAGTATAAAACTTTAAAATCTATCCAGCCGTTCGTTCAAAATAGCGTTACATAGCTGTGTGACAATATATTAAACGTATTTTATTTTATAACAGGTCGGTATTTTTAGTTCAAAACACTTCAAGGATGTCATCAAATGATTTGAGCCATCGAACTTAGAAATCTATCCAGCGGTTCACCGATAAAAGCTTAACAAATATTCTGTTTCTTTTTTTTCCTGTTGTTAAACTTTTCACCCTAAAACCCCTTCCCTAGCTACCCGAGGATTTCTTTCAGGGCTGATATAATTTTCTGGTAATTAATATTTTCACAAATAATAAAACATATAACAATTAATATTACTCTCTACAAGCTCACATCTGCAACTCACAAATAAAAACTAGGGTGTGGCAAACTAGTCATTTTTTACTCTTTGAGATTAAAATTTTGCTCACCGCGCACGGTTTCGCCTCAAACTGGTTTCCTATTCATTACCTGGGCCTGTGGTTTTGCCCAAATTTGGACACCAGAGGCGCAAGATCTCCGCAGTACTTGGATCGCTAGCAATGAATTATGGAATACTGTAACAGACCGTCCAATTAAATGTTCAGCTTTTTTTTTCCTCTGTCAGAGCGGTAGCTTGAAGACTTCTTGATTATTTTTAAAAATATTATTTTTTTTTTTTTAACTTTTTATCTTTATTAACACCTGAAATACATGATAGTAACAATCACTAAATCTAATTGAGAAAATTACAATTACTACATGCAAGAATAGAAAAGAGTAATATCCAATGGAATATCCTTCAAGTCTTGATGAAGAGTTTTATTCAGGAATTAAGTTCTCTCGTCAAACTCTTTTTCAGTTATTTTCTAATAGACATGTTAGCCTTATCCTTATCAATTTATTTTTATATCTATGAAGTTTATAATGAAAACTAGAAAACATACTTTGTATATGTTGGTTGAAATAACTTGTTTTCTTATTTATATAAAAATAAACTGCGGTTGTTTGTCTAAAAATAATTCATTGAAAATGTTGTTTCTTTTTGCTAAACCGTAATATTTGATGTGTAATCCCATATGAGCTATGTCGAAGGATTTGAAACCAAATTTTAAAAATATTTATTTAATAATTATTGCTTCTGTAACTATGTGGAATGTAAAAAAAAAAAAAAAAGCTCAGAATCAAACATTGCACTAGCGGTTTACATTGTAAGGAATACAGCCATATCTCCTGCATTGATTAAATCAAATTCCATCAAATATTTTAGCTGACGCAAGCGTAAATTTAATTTTACAGACAAGCCTCCTACATTTCAAAATAGTTTCGTACACATCAGCACCAATATATATGAAGATTGGCGAATGTTAAAAAAATAATCCTGTATCAATTTTATGAAATGATATGTTTTTTTTTGTTTTTTTTTTTATTCGCCTTTATAGTAACTTCAATGTTCGATTCGGTCCAAAACTTCATGTTTGATACGCTCCGAATTCGGAGAATATTTACAGATTTGGTAACTAAAAATGAATTTCATATTTAATCCACTATATTAAAAAAATATTTCAACTTTTATATCAAAACACCTTCTTGATAGGCTTAAATTACGAAAACGGTTCGTTCGATTTGGCACAAAGATTGAGAACATTTAGAGAATAGTATAAAATGGTCTAATATTAATTTCATGATATTTTTTAATATAATATTTTATATATATATATATATATATATATATATATATATATATTACATTTTTTTTATTTAATTTTTTTTTAAATGCTCTTACCCTATTCTTACCTTTATTATAACTCATTTTGCCTGTGGTAAGGTTTAAGCTGCATATAGAAATATTTTATATAAAATCAGATATAAAATATTACATATTTCAAAATAAAATTACTCGTAACCGATACAACTAGCGTTGAAGCTATGCTGCTTCTTATTGTCTGACATTTCGTTTATTTATACATACATACATATATATATATATATATATATATATATATATATATATATATATATATATATTATATATATATATATATATATATGTATGTATTTTTTTCCCCCTATGTGGTAACCCCAAACAAAGATCATTTATTTGATTTTCCTTCATGCTCCATGCCTTAAAGACATACTACATCAATTACATTTGTTTACAATTATATATATATATATATATATATATATATATATATATATATATATATATATATATAAATCTTAAAAATAATTTTATGTAGAATATCAATGCCTTGTTTTTTTTTTCTATCAACATAAATCAATCAAAATATATTTTTTCTATTTTTCTACTATTTTTTTATAAGGGTTGAAATATATACAAATCAAGAAACAGAAATAAATGCTATGAGTGGTTCTAGGAAGAGAACTATCAGATGCATGAAGAACTCACTAATGAAACTCAAACAGTTTGAATATTTGAGTACAATACTCGCTACTCGTATCAGGACTCTCGCTTTGCCCACTTCTAATCAATAATTATGTTTGCTATAATCGAGTCGTTTTTTTCCAAAGTGAATCCTGATCGATTTTATTGGAAATCGAGATAAGTATTGAATTACCTGTTACAATCCTATGAATCCGAAGGCTAGAATTTTTTTTCGAACAAGATTTTAAATATTAGAAAAAACTTGGGTCAACTTATGTATATTTCTACAATCGGCTTTCATTTCAAGAAATGTAAAGAGAGTTGCATTTAAGTAATTCAAAAAAATAATTAACAGTTTTTTATTTAACGTTTTTGTACGAATGTAACTAAAATTATTAATCTTAAAAAAAAAACTAAAATTACTAAACGAATATTATTATTGTAACCTAACAATCCCCACAACTCCCTCCGAATCTTTAACATTTTTTTTTCCTAAACAGAACCGCAATCAACTCTAAAATGGGGCTTGAAATTCATTACTTCCACAATTAAATTACAATATTTTATTAAATACTATTAAAATAAACATTAATTTTCCTAAAAAAAAATTCAATGTTCACTTTGGGATTAAAGGCACATATTAAACAGTATTGTGCACGCACCAGTTATGGACAGGAGGCCCAGAAATAGACAGGTTGCACTTTAAATGTAAATAATAAGTTTCCTTGTTCATTTAAAACTTATAGTTTTTTCTAGATTGATGACCAATGCCCTCTATTGACAAATATATGAACAAAGTTCCCAAAATAAAATTTTAAAAAGCCTATCATTATTGTTTCTATAATGCTCTTTAGACCATTGGGTTTCATATCTTCGTACTAACAGTTTTTCTAAGAGTAAGTTGAAAATTTATTTTATTTCATTTTTACCCTTATCTCTTAAAATATGAACAACCTATAGAAGCTGGTTTATCATAAATTTATCTATATAGTTAAAAAAATATTTTAGAATTTT